TGGTTAATCTCACGTTACTCTGAAACTCCTCTCTCTCTCTCTCTCTCTCTCTCTCTCTCTCTCTCTCTCTCTCTCTCTCTCAGTGACGTGGTCGGCACCACTTGGAGGAAGTGTTTCCGCTCGCTGCTGAACGCCGGCGGACGCTCGTCTCTGTCCATCCTGTCGGAGCTGAAGGAGCAGGTGTCCTCACTTTTCCTGTGAAACACAAACATGTCGTCTTTGTCTTTTTTAATGTTCTTCAAGTAAATAAACGTTAAGCTGATTTTCATACCAGTTTATTCTCTGTCTGTTTTGTTTCTGCTTCACCTGCGAACCTGAGCTGGAACTATGAAGATCTTAAAACGGTAACAAAGAAGGTCTGCTGCAGAACCAGCAGGGGGCGCTCTGGCAGAGTCAGATGATTTCAGCTGAAGTGGAAATCATCCAGTGGGATTATTTTACAGGTTAAACCAGTTTGCAGCAAAAATACTAATGTGTTTTTAACATAAAATGAATCGACATGCACAAACATCATGTTTTCCTCCACATCAGCGTTTAATAAAGGCAGTAAAGCGAGGCGTGCTGTCTGGGGGGGGGGGACGTGGACGTAGTCTGGTTGTTGAGTCACGTCCTGCTCCGCCTCGGGCCAGAGACAAGCTGCAGCCTGCAGAGACACTCACACCTCCTCTTTGTTGCTTCACTCTGCACTGCTTCACTGTCATCTTTCAAATAAATGCTGACTCATCTTTACCCCGAACCCCCCGCCCTGCTACCCTGAGGGGGTCAAAATGTCCCACATGGCCCCGGTTAAAGCTGAGGTTTGAGCTCAGGGCAGCGGGGGGGTCGGTTCAGCTCAGATCCATGAAGCTGCTTTGAATTTAAGCAGTCAAATTAAGCTCCGCCCCCACCTGAGACCAGGTGAGACAGGAACGAGTGATGTGGGGGAGGAGAAAGACGAGCAGCGGAAAGAAGGAGCCAAAGAACGGCAGAGGTCCTGGACTCACCTGGACTCTGCGGCCAGGTGAGTGATTGATTTGACTGGAAACCGTTCTGAAGGTTCTTTACAGGTTCTGGTTCCACCTGGGATGTTCCTGAACTGTAAAAAACTTTTTTTTGTTTATAAATAAATGTTTAGTAGCTGTGAGGAACCCTGCTGTAGGTTCTATCAGAACCACAAACATTCTTAAAGTTCTTAGCTGGAAAAAGTCCAGACCCACGAGGTTCTCCTTCAACGGGCCAAAAAGGGTTTGGGTTTCCAACGTCAGGGTCGGGACCCCACTGTGGGTCCTGAAACAGCAGTTTTGGGTCCCTGTGATCAGTTTGTTGAGTCGTACGTGAGGAACCAGGTGGAATTACCTGAGTTGTGTTTGATGCATCGTCCAGACGAGGACCTCTCGGGGTCTTTGCTGTTATTTCGGGGTCTGAAGGTTCAGTCGTGCGTGTAGAAGCGCTGAGGGTCCCGCCTCCGTTCGCTGCAGTAAACTGATCTGTATGAATGGACGGTTGAGGAGAAGTCTGTGGGGTGCCGTTTGTAAAGTTACAGTCAAAAATTACCACCAATATTTTTGTTTTATTTAGTCTTTTATAAGAAAAAAAAGAACAGATT